CAGCCTCCCTGTGCTAACATCCACTGCTTGGTCTTCAGAAATGTTCAGTAAGTGCTGATGAGTATCAGTGGGTGCCATTTTTTCACATGGAGAAATTCCATTCCACATCTTTGTTTCATACACACTTCCATGTCAGACATCATTTTCTCAGGGTGTCCCTCAACTACCATATGTTGCACAGCAACAAAATGTAATGGAATACTGGCAGGAAGGTTCAACCTCTGCTGCCATATCAACAACATCCACTTCTGATATCACGGGCCAACATAACAAAATAGGAGGCATTACTTTCAGAGCAGCCTTCGTATATGTGTATTAGCTGAAGAAGCTATCTGAAACAAATGAATTTTCATTAGACGTTTTCTGACAATACGATGTAATGGATAGCAGGGAGGAGGAGGGTACCTTATTTAATCAGACTACTTTTGTCTCTACTATTATTTGTTTAATTCCCTCCCTATCTACCTTACAGTCTAATGCAGGAATTAACTACAATGTGAAGAAAAAATGACATTCATGGAAAAAAAGAAAAACAAATGCTGGTCATATTTGCATAAATGTGTGGGCACAGTTTTATGCACAAACGTGTTGATCGGTTTGAGGTAGCTCTGCTTTTCGTCTTGTCTATTAAGAACTTATAATTTAAGCAGGGAAAAAGCATGTGGCTAGTTATATTCAATTCTGCTCTTTTTATTGTACGTGAAGGTGATTCACCATGTGGTTCATGTTTTGTAAGAATGCTATATGTACTTCTGTAGCTCAAAGACTTTCCTGTTAGCTGAAAGCCATGTTTGTGCAACTGACAAGTCATAACGTGTTTATTTCTGGGTTCTGAGGGTGTTTAAACAATGGTGTAGTCTGAACAAGTCTAGAAAACTAGTGTTCTTAATTAATACTTATTTATATTGAAAAAATGGAGATATGTCAAGGCAACATGAGTAGAAGACTGAAAGCTGGAATGCTTTCCTATTACATTCTACTTTGAAATATAAATGCTATTTTTCAATAAAAGTAATAGAAATAATAAACGTTTTCCAGCTGCTATGTCGTTCATAATGAATAACCTTCTTGGTCTGCATTTCTGTTTGTAAGCTATTTACAGGGTACTTCTAAGCCTTAGGTATGTTTGTTTGAGGACACACAGCATGTACATCAGCCCAAGGCTTCTTCTACTTTAACTGTTTGTTCCTCACCATTGGTAATATTGGCTTTGTCAAGTCCTGCCAAATGGGACTGCTTCTGGTTTCTAGTGAGTTGAAATGTAATAAGGAATCGGAAATCTGAATTAAAGACAGCTAAGTAAGCAGGATGAACTCAAAACTATTTTTAAAGTTTAGGAGGTTAGCTACCCAAATGCCTCCATTACCAAATTTTGTGTATCATCCTTTCTACCACCATTCATGAGTGGTTCTATACACAATATGACAACAATCACTTTCTTGTAAAGTGACTTTGGAAAACAAATACAGTTATGAGTGAGCACGTTTTTGGAAATTGACTTTGATAATTGATAACATAAAAGGCCCTAAAATTATCTAAATGTATTTATTTTCCTTGCTGTAACATTCATACTGCATTTACTGCTACCAATATTTTCTTTTTTATATAAAATGTACAGCTGATATGTGTATACTGAACTATGTCCTTGCCATTGCATTACTTAAGCATTCGATTTGCCCTGACTTCATCCTGCAGTGACTTCTGTTGCTCCCATCCACTAGGTACTCACCCACACTGTGCATTTGGCTTTGTGACTATGACAGGTCGAGTGCCTTCCTGTTCAATCTCACTTGCTCCAGCCACCTACGTGCACCACAATACAAATAATTACAGCTACAGATCTCTATCATGTGTAATTTGTTTGAAAATAAAAATTGTCATAGATCTGTGAATTTCAAATGAGTTTTGTGTGTTTGAACCGTGTAGTAATTTATAACAACTGAACATCTGCCTTAATACTGGAAACAAGTCTTTTGTTAGGAGGCAAATTGAGAATCCTTCTATATTGAGTATGCGTACCTGCATTTTTCTGTTGTGCTCATGCATGCATGATTGGAAAAATATTTCTTTGTGCATTCAAAAGGTGATACCAGGCAACAATTTCAGGAGTAGGAATTTGTCTGCCATGGGGACATCTTGATAATCAAACATCATTGGCATAAGCAGAGTTGGCATCTGCTTTTAAGACTCCAGCAGCTGAAGGCCATGAAATGGCTTTGTTCTTTCTGCTTGCATTGCCTGTGGCAGAACTGAGAAGGGCAGAATTAGAAACAGCTGCTGTGTGAGGATGAGTGTGTGCAGGCAGCCCATGGCAGCCCAGCCAGAGAGACCATTCCTCCTCTCCAACATCAGCAAGACCAGCAAACCTTAGACTTTCACCAGCTTTCCATGTTGATTCTGCTCTTTCCATACTTGAAGTGGCAAAATTCAATTCTACCAATGCATCTGAGAAGCCTTAAGCTTTCTATGTATATTACAATTCCACACTTTATTATTAAAATCTCTTTTTTTTCCTTCTCCAACAAAGAACATTCATTTCTGATGACCTTACAAGATTTCCTGCGTGGCTTCATTGGCCTGGAAAGCAGCACTTTAGGGATTACAGAACTGCAACATGTTCAGATTTTATCCACCATTAGAATTGATTAAAAAACAAAACAAAACAAAACAAAACAACAAAAAAAAAAAACCTTACAGATTATGATCTTTAAGGGCAAAAAATTATGATCAAGAGCAAGAAAAACCAGTGTTGCTTTAAAGATAAAGATCCAGCTTTTGATGAATGTGAACAGCTTGGTAGAATACAGTTTGAATTGTGTAATGTAACCAGTATAAATGCAAACATTGGACTTGATCTGAAAATAAGAATTAACCTACATCTGATTAGACCAATATAATTATTTTAGCACATTTTACAAATTTGGTCAGTTTACTTTCCTAAAGGCAATGTTAGACTGCATACGCATTCATCTTTTCACTTGCCTGTTAAGGCTAGAAAAGCAATTAACTCCTATCTTGTAGATGACTGAACAATTTTGGTCTGTTATTAGTAGAGAATTGACAAAATCCAAATTGTAGATCTGGACAAAGAGGCAAACTCCTTAAACCTCCCTCCTTACTCATAGCAAACTCTGAGATTAAACAGTTTTCTAATTCTGTCTCAAAGACCAAGTACAAAACGTAAATATGCTTATATTATTATTATTATTAAATATGCTTATGCATATGCTTAAATATCTTTAACATTTTGCGCTCTAAAAGAACACATACAATAATTCACCATAAGTTTTTAAATTTCTGAATTCTCCTCATAAAGTAGATAAATGGCCTTTTAATAGAATCAGAGAATCACAGAATCACCAAGGTTGGAAAAGACCACAAGATCACCCAGTCCAACCATCCACCCATCACCAACAGCTCTCACTAAACCTTGCCCCTCAACACAGCATCCAGGCATTCCTTGAACACCTCCAGAGTCGGTGACTCCACCACTTCCCTGGGCAGCCCATTCCAGCTTCTGACCACTCTTTCAGAAAAGTAGTATTTCCTAACGTCCAGCTTGAATCTCCCCTGGCACAGTTTGAAGCCATTCCCTCTAGTCCTATCACCAGTTACACGAGAGAGGAGACCGACTCCAAGCTCATTACAATGGTAGTTGAGAGCAATGAGGTCTCCCTTGATCCTCCTCTTCTCCAGACTGAGCAATTCCAGCTTCTTCAGCCGCTCCTCATAAGCCCTGTGCTCCAGACCCCTCACCAGCTTTGTTGCCCTTCTTTGAATTCACTCCAAGGCCTCAATATCTTTCTTGCAGTGAGGGGCCCAAAACTGGACACAGTACTCGAGGTGCGGCCTCACCAGAGCTGAGTACAGGGGGACAATCACTGCCCTGCTCCTGCTGGCAACACCATTCCTGATGCAAGCCAGGACGCCATTGGCCTTCTTGGCCACCTGGGCACAGTGCTGGCTCACGTTCAGCCGAGCATCAATCAATACCCCCAGGTCCATTTCCTCTACATTTTGATTACTGGCAACAAAAAAGGCCCATAAAATAGCTAATGTAATAACATTTTATCCTGCAATTTTGGAAAACATTTGCACAATTGAATGGTTAAGAGCAATATAGATGCCTCATGTGGCCCTGCAAAAGTGTATGCAAACAACTCTCCATATTTAATGGAGGGCTTAAACATCTGCATAAATGTAATGTGGATTCTTGTAAGGTTCAGAGTTGATAACAGAATAAAAATCTGATTGTGCTGTGTGTCTTTGAATCCCTGTCAGACTTAATGTAAAGAGTTTTGCTATATCTATTTAGAAGATAATGACAAACTCCTGATTTTAGAGAAGCAAGTTTCCACTCACTGATGTGGCTGCTGCTGGCAGGGCCGTGTCATTCATCCAGGTGTGGAAAGAACAGCCCATTACATTGGGATTGTTGATGACTCCTCAGTAAGAAGAGCATTAAAGTGCCTTTTAAAGATCTGGGAATTTTATTGTTGCTGTTTTTAACTGGGTCTCAGTTAAACCAGTAATCACTTAAATTACATCAAGCTTTTAAGACCCATCTGGAGGAAAGACCTGTAAATGGAAAAGAGGAAAACACATTAAGCTTTAAAAGTTTAGCCAACTACAATCAATGCTGCATCTCATCTTCTTTATGGTTTTGCAGCCTACAAAGGAATAGTAATAGATGCTCGACTTCAGTTATATGTATTTTGAATGTAATTACCTTGGTTTTTTAAGCCAACCAGGCTGAAAAATATTTTAAATAGCAGAACATGGAATGGAGTACAGTTATTTTCCATGGCAATTGTAAATATTTGCTCTCTGCTGTAACTGCTCTTGCTCTTTGAATGTACAGTTTTGTAGGAGTTATCCAAATGTGTCTGGGATTTGTTAACTGAGGAAGGAGGAGAGTGAGAGGATACAGGAAGCTATAAATAACACAGTGCAAGCCCTGACTGGTGTGATCACATGCCTAAAAACTTTTGGCTGCACAACTTCTTCCAACTGTTTTTCTGTGTTCCACAGTTCAGCACATCCTACCTGTACCTGCATAGGATAGAGGCAATTAAAGTCTGGTAATGACACGCTGAGGCAGCCCCAGGAGCAGCAGACACACAAAATGGCACACATCCACCTTGGGGGAATCTTGACTTTGAATGTGTACAGCCAGGTGTCTCTCCCCAGAGGAGGAGGGGGACAGAACCAGCAACGGGAAATTTGGGAGAGCCTGGGTGAGTGGCTGATGAAGCCTTGCCAGATTTGTTCTCTCTGTTTTGTTTGCAGGGCTGAGGAAAGCAGACAAGAGCTGGGAGTACCAGACACACAGGACATAGCTGGAATGCCATACAGATGTCTCAAGGCTATGTTCTTCCCCTTGTTAAATGAGGGTTTAGAATAGGATCTGGGTGCCATACTTTAATCAGTCATTTACAGTGAGATTTCTGGGTTTCACTCATTTCAGCATGACAGAGAAACAGCTCATTGATAAATGAGGGGTTTTCAGTGTGTAGTGGATGAAGATGTGACTGGCAGTCTGTAACTCATGCTTGACAAAATTCAGTCTGGAATCTGAATGCACTGCTTAATTTGCTTCATCTTTTTTTTATTTTGCTTCAACAGTGAGGGAAAATAATTAATCAGTGAATGTTTGAGGCTCTTCACCATGCTTAAGATGTTTTTCTAATTTTATATTTAAACCATTTTAATACATCTGTAGGCTTTTAACTGGTCACTTATTCAAGGATATTGTATAGTCTTGTTGATAGGGGCAAAAAAAAGAGATTATTACAGAGATTCATCCTAGTTCTGGAAGGTTCTGTAACTATTTAACACACAAAAGCAAAATTAATATGTATGAAACAAGAATGTAGTTTCCCACAGTGCCCACTCTTAGACTGCTGGGAAGTAGGACAGACAGGGAAAAGACAAACAAATACCATATGAACTAAAAATAGGATGTGCATAGTGATTTTCAACTGGTAGGGAAGGAGGTTGATGAATTCCCACATAACTGGAAATCAGCATGCATCACCCATTCTGAGTAGAGATCAGTAGACACGGGACATTTCATCCTCACTCCCTTCTGAAATCCACTCAAGGAAACAAAGTACAAGAAAACAATCAATCAAACAAAATCCACAAAATTCAGCGACGCTTTATAAGATTTGAGGTCATTTTCAGCTCCTGAACTCTAATACACAGCTGCTCCTTTCTCCTTTCTGTGACTAGGGAGGTGCAAATCACAGAATCAGAGAATCAGAATCATAGATTATCTCAAGATGGAAGGGACCCACAGGGATCATCAAGTCCAACTCCTGTTCAAAGTGATAATCCAAACACAATCAAGTTAACCATTGTTCTGGTGTCTTTAAAACCTATGTGGTACCTCTTATCTGCCTCCAAAACTTCTTCATGCCTCACTCTGTGATCTTAAATTTAGTCTCTCATGCTCGTGTAGCCGGTTCATTTTCATTTGGCATACCCTACCTATCATACAACAATTCTTTTTTGAAATCTTAAAGCCTGTATGAATATTTCTGCGGGGGTCTTACTGCTTGCTGCCATAATGCCTAATCTCCAGTCACACCAGGATGCTGTTGTGTAGCAACAGTACAGAATCACAGGGAGGAAGAGTCCTTCTCCAACATATTAGCTGCTTAAGTAGCAAAGTGTTTTCCTTTCATCTGACAAATGCTGAGTTATGGCACAGAAACATGAAGTGAATTGGTAAATACAAGAATTGAGTCTGGGTTTTCTAACCATAACACAAGTCCTTAATCACGTGGCAAGCCAGCTTTCAGTTGTTCTTTGTTTAACAGAAAACCTTTTCTTTATTATTTCCTTTTTAATTTTTTAAGCAGGGATTTCCTGCAGTGGTTGCTGCAGAGACCCCAAAAGATAACACTTCCTTGAAAGCGATGGATTGATTTACTGTCGATCCCCTGGTGAGACTGTTTGGAGATTTTAAAAAGCTTAATAATGATGAACGTATGCATAGCGACATTGAAATAAAACAAAAATTATTTTAGTCTCTTTTTTTTTTTAAGTATACACAGGAAGAAACTTTTTAAAATCAGCACTGTTGATGTAATGACACATTAACTTAAAGTTACTTTAATATAAAAGATTAATTGATACTTCTCGTGTAGGAAGAGTGCTAATGTTCTTATTAGCAATTATATAAGAACACTTAGCGTAGTTATAAACTATTGCTTTGTAGGATTTAAAAGCAGTTTGCAACTCTTAAGGACCATAGTATATAGCTAATCTTTTTCTGTATGACTAGAAAATGTGCTCCTATTGAAATGTATGTAAATTTGACACATCAGGTCAGTTCTAAAAAAGTAAAGGAAAAAGATTAGCAGTAACTAAATTGAATGAATTATGTACTTACTGGCAAAGAACACTGGTATTTCCTAATCCCTTCTAAGGTTTTTTCTCTGTGTGTAAGATTATGGATACTTTTTCTGAATATAATAACATGTTTTCATGGGTCCCTAGAGGCTGACACCTGAATCTTCTCATCTTTTTAGGATAGAGAATTATTTCTTAAAATTTAGGGGCGTTATTAGCACATTTAAACTGGTTCAGAAAGAGATTAGAAAGTTATACCCTGCCAGGAGAGAGTCAACATTTCTGAGAACAAAGCCTGCTTCCAAAGAAATACAAGACTTTGTGTGGGTTAGGTGTCTTTGTAGGTCACCCCAGAATGGGCTTAAGTTGCTGACATTTTTGCTGGTAATCACAGCTAATTGAAATTCTTTCTACAGAAACTTACTTCACTTTACATTTACAAATTTGTACAAATCAAACAGCTGAGAACCTGCTTTTTTCCAAAGCTCAGCTGTTATCAAAGGTAGACAAACTGGTGCTGTTACTCCAGACTTTGGATAAACTCTGGATGTCATACTAGCAAGGCATGGAAATCTCCAGCATTTTCTTCACCGAGTACAATTTTCTTGCTTATTAAATAATTGGCTCCTAGAAGGTTTCAATAGGAATGGTTTTCTGATCAAAGCAGTAAAGCATTCTTCAGGAGCACAGTGAAATGACTCAATAAGGCAGAATTGCTTCAATTTAATTTTTATAATTTTAACTTTAGACAGTAACTCTTCCATAAATTTACTTCAGTGTATTCAAAACGGTTTTATTTTTTGACATATTTTGGGTTGGGGGAAATTTTAATATTTATTTAAACTTGTAGAGTTGTTAAAATATCCAATGAAAAGACAATTCCAAACTTTGATGAGCCCATCTTTGAGCTCTAGTCAAAATATCACCATTTATCTCTTGTTTATTTCTGACGGATAACATATGAGTAGGTTAGAATGCAGGGCTCTCATTGCAGGAAATATTAGAGACTTAAAGAGAGTGATGTTTCTTCTAAGAGGTTTCTTTTAATTTTTTTTTTCCATTTCATTAATAAGTTAATTCTGTTTCAATAATAAATAATTTTCCACACAGACTTCTTTGAAATGAACAATCAAAACTTTATAAGCTTTTAGTGTAAGCCATTTTGACCCATCTCAAAATGTTTTTTTAAAGAGTAATGTTTTTTTCCTTTAAAACAAAATATTATTTTACTAATAACAGACCCTCTCAATTAGCATCATACTTGAAGGCAGAAAGTGCTATGGAAATTTCAAATATAATTAAAATGCCAGCACCAGAAAAAGACTGTCATAAAGAAAATGAAACTTCCCATTGCTATAAAATACTCTCCATGGCCTGATCGTTCAGAAAGTTTGTTTCCTACTCACAAACTTCTGAGTCCAATAAAGGAAGAAATGAGTCAGGCCAGAGGGAAGCCTGAATTCTGCTGTGTACTTTTCATCTCTTGGGCATCGTAAAATAATGCTAGTTTCAGGATAAGTTATTTCAGTAAATCTTCTGTCACCATAAATGTTTTTATAATTAAAGCAACAGATAATGTAATATGCAATGATAATTCTCATAATAATATGCAAACTAGTCAGTAATTTAATATGCATACTAGTAGATAATTATCTATTTCCCAAAGCACCATGCCATCAGTAAAACAGAGTTATTCATTTCAAGAGCCATGATTAACCTCTGGGTTCCCACCCGCTCCGTAGTTTGGCAGTGCAGAGAGACACGAAGCATTTACAGGCCCAGTGCAACAGTCTGCGGGTTCAGGAAGTTCAGGAAAAGATCCTTGTCTTCAGGAGGCAAGATTACGCTTGTCCAGGAATGTGTATATTGCGTAGATGATCATGTTTCAGCTTCATATCCTGAGGATTATATCCTGTTGTTATTCCTAGGAGCTGCAAGGATCTTTAATTCGGTATTTTGTGAGTGTGAATAGCTCAGACAGTTTCTTCCCAGTGCAGCAGGGAGAGCAGGCAGGCAGGCAGGCAGCAACCTGGGCTTGGTGCTGCTCCGATGGGAGCTGGCTGGCTGTGGGGAGCCTGGTTCATTTGGATTTACAGCACTCTGCTTCCCAGCAATTTCAGCGGCTGTAGCACAGTGCTGTTGGTTAAGTTCAGCCTTTAGTTGCCTCTGTGATTTATTTTCCAGATGTGACTGAGCAAAGAGGAAACGTAGCAATCTCTCTCCTTTCAAACCTCCCTGGGCCGGGCCTCCCCGCCTCCTTTGCCACCCGCACTGCCCTACATCCCGTGCTGCCCTTTCTGTCCCCCCTGCTCTCCTGGAGACCTCCAACCACCCAGATAACTTGTGTGTACCCCCCACAGCAGCAGCGTTCCCCTTCCCTTCCTGCCCCCAGTCATACAACTGAAGTCGTCCTTAGAAACAAATAAGTACCAGCAGCTAACTCTGCACTGGCATCTAGGCTGCTGACAGCTGCAGGTGTGCTGGAAACACGGCTGCACTGGATGCATGCTCTAAACATGTCTCTGAATAATAGAAATGGGCAGAAGTGGCACTCATCATCTGATACAGACAGAAAAAATGTTACTGGATTGCAGACAAGAATTTTCAACTTTACCCTGGACTGCCCTAAGTAATAATTTCCATTACTGCCATTTATTGCCTCAGTTAAACATAGTCACAGTCGCCTTCTGAACCATCACAAGCTACCAAAGTTGGGAACTCAGGGCGAATCTGTGCTGTAGTTTTTCAGTGAACCTGAGAACTGTTGAGTCAAAATAAGCCTCATGCACAAAGAATCTTGACACCTCTACTCAGGTGCAGGCTTTTGTGACCTTTCCGGGTAAATAGAGAAGTTTCGGTTTGGTCTTGCTGCCATGTTCAGC